ATAGTGTTGGATACAGTCTGCAAAACAGCCCTGTTCCGTCCTGTTTATGATACATGTCTCAGAGCTCACAAAGTGGTACCTCAGAATTGTAAGAGGCATCGAAGTCTGTTCGCAGTAGTAGTAGTAGTAGTAGTAGTAGTAGTAGTAATAGTAGTAGTAGTAGTAGTAGTAGTAGTAGTAGAACAACAGTAATATTAATAACAACATTAATGAACAACCCTAACGAATAGAACTATTATAAACAAATCAAGCTTCTACACAACATCCCACCCCCTGCCAGCGCGCCCCACCCCCCACCTGCATACACAACTCAGAATACCCTTAGACCCAAACCTTGCAGAACCTCAAATGAAATGGCTAGCCCTTCAAATTAAGGCCCCTCTTTAGATTCCAACTATAGTGCGGCAGCCTTATAAAAAGGAAACCTCTAAAGGGGACCCTAACTTAGAGAAACGGAACCTCTAAAAGGGACCCTGCCCTAACCTAGACAAAAGGAACCTCTAAAGGGGACCCTAGCCTAGAGAAAAAGAGCCTCTAGAAGGGACCCTGACTTAGAGAAAAGGACCCTCTAAAGGGCATCCTGACCTAGAGAAAGGGAGCCCCTCTAAAGGGGAGCCTAACTTAGAGAACCACCCAAATTCAACACCCGACCCCGGACCTCAAGCCCCAAAATCCAGCCCGAAGGCCCTAGACTGGGAAAGCTCGCAGGGTTTAGAGTTAAGGGTTTAGGGTTGAGGTTTAGGGTTTAGGGTTTAGGGTTTAGGGTTTAGGGTTTAGGGTTTAAGGTTTAGGGTTTAGGGTTTAGGGTTTAGGGTTTAGGGTTTAGGGTTTAGGGTTTTAAGGAGGGTCGGGGAACTTAGTAAGTAATACAGGGGCCTAAGTAATCACCAATACTATTCTTTTTGGAGGGGGTCCTTATTGTAATTCTAGTAAAATATACCCTATAGCAGCTTGTTTTCTAAATCTTTAAGCATCATCACCCCAACTAGGACCCCTTTGGCTGCACTTGCAAGTCTACGGTAGTCATTACCTGCTTACTAGACCCCCCAAAAGGATCCAAAAAGTGGATCCCTCAAGGGGGTTCCCTTATAAAGTACCCTTTAGTACTTAGGGTCCCAAATTAGGGGATCTACTTTTTAGATCCTTCCGGGAGTCTGGGTTACTACGTCCCGCAACCCTCCAAGCAATAAGCGGAGCAAGAACCCAACTCCGAGCACAAGGCATGATTGGAGGAGCTAGCACCTGCCAGCATGTTGCTTTGGGTTTTGGGTTTTGGGGCTTAGGGTTTAGGGTTTAGGGTTTTGGGTGTAGGGTTTAGGGGTCTAGGGTTTTGGGCTTAAGGTTTAGGGGTTTAGGGGTTTAGGGGTTTAGGGAGTTGACCCCCAGAAATCCCAAACACCCCTTACTTCAGGACCCCACTTTGATTTCGGGAAAATGATGGTAGCTATAGAAGATAGCTTCAACCGGCCGCTTGCGAGTTGAAGTTGCTGTGGTTAGCTCACGCTGCAGCCGTAGCGATCATCATCATAAGGCGAAGCGTATTCAAAAGCAAACCCCAGTCCATCCATTGGACAGCTTATGCCTGTGGGACACAGGGCGTAGGGCTTCTCATACTTCTGCACATGGGTAGCTTTCTAAATTAGGGTCCCCTTTGGGGGTCCTTTTTATAAGGGTGCCGTACTACATTAGGGACCCAAAAAGGGACCCTAAACCCTAAACCCTAAACCCTAAACCCTAAACCCTAAACCCCTGTTTTAGAGAACTACCCACATGACACCAGCGCAGCCCGACACTCCTTGCGACAACGCCCGAGGCACCTTCTGGGGACATCATCTTCTCTGAAGCCGGATCACCTGGGCAACAAGGCGCCGGTTTAGGGTTCAGGCTTTAGGGTTTAGGGTTTAGGGTTTAGGGTTTAGGGTTTAGGGTTTAGGGTTTAGGGAATAGTGCTCATGGAGCTAAACTGGAGCCCGGTTCATGGAGTTTCGCGAACTGCTGATCCTTTCTGAGATATCCAGCTCTGACATGAGGGAAGCATCTGACTTGAGCTCGACGCTTGGGGGTGTAAGGGCCTGTTCAACTTCGACCCACCGACATGTACGAGCACTTAAAACGACCAGAAATCATGCAGTATGGAACCTTGTCTAGAAGGAAGGACAGACGGGAGCTTCAGAAAAAAGCTATTTGTCCTAAAGAATAGGATCCGTACTATCAACACCACGCAAATAACCCTGACTTTGAAGAAGACCTAAACCCTAAACCCTACACCCTAAGCCCTAAACCCTACACCCCAGAGCCTGAAGCCCCCAGATCAGACCAAGGAAGCTGGGCGCTCGCACAGCCGATGCTGACGGTGGCCTACGAAGATCTTGCTGCATCGAGCCATAATGCGGGAAGACATGTTGCGAGCTTCCGGAATTTGGGCTTTTGGGTTTTGGGCTTAGGGGGCAGTAATGCCAGGAGACATTCGCGAGTTTCTGAAAGTTGGGTCTCCGTCTCTCGGAGTCTGTATCATAAGGATCCACTAAGGTATATAAGGAATCCGAGCTTGTTCTGAAAACTCCCTAAACCCTAAACCCTAAACCCTAAACCCTTTTGGTGTTGTTGAGTTATCTGGCTTAGCCTGAATCGAGGTCAGCTTTTAGAGTTTGGGGAGCCGGGCGTGCGTGCCAGGCTCTTTGGCAAGCTTTGGTGGGAGCTCTAACGACTTACATGGGGGTTTCAAAATAGGGGACGCTAATATAGTACCCTAAATAGTAGGATCCTGATTATAAGGACCCAAAATAAGGTACCCCTTATGTTCGGAAACCCCCACATCACAGATCTAACACAACACGACGTTTGAGGCGGGCAGGGGGTTGGATTGGGGCTGGCTGCATAAGGATCAGATCCTCTAGATGTGTGTGTTTCGACTTCTCCTCGAACCTTCAACGGTCCAACCAGAAGACAGACGTCTGGGAAAAGAGCAGCTAAGTGGGATTTGCTGGAGACTCAAAACCCCAAGCTGTGAACCCGAAACCCGGGACCCTGCCTGAATCACAGACGCGAAGCCTTAAAGCCTGAACCACATATGCTCAAGCCCTCATCTTTATGAAACATATGCCCCAAACAGAGCGTCTGCACTTTTTCGACTGCAGGCGTTGAGCTGTAGATGCGATTTCGCAGGCACCTTGGCTCGAGAAGTTGTGGCATTTTAGACCCGAGAATGAAAGACGACTCTCGACATCACAAAATATCAAAACGGTCATGATCTAATCAGAGGAGACTGGATTGTTAGGGTGCCGGGTTCACGGCCTACGGATAGAACCGAGAATCCAAAACAAAAACGGAAACTGCAAGCCCCAACCGCTCAGTCATGCAAGAACCTTGATCCGAAACTTCTACATTGCCAACGAAGAATGCCATGTATCAGACGGCCCAACTCGAAGAGAAGCGGAGAGAATGGGTCAGACCACGCAGGAAAACACTGTCAGCTGTACTACAAAAAGGGCCCTTTCAGGGCTCAGGGTTTAGGGTCTAGGGTTTAGGGTTTAGGGTTTAGGGAACCTGATCCAGGACGGTTTAGAGTTTAGGGTTTAGGAAAACCCCTGCTCCTTAAACCCTAAACCCTAAACCCTACTGCTGATGGACAAAATCCTGCATGACATTATATACCTAAACTATGGGATTCATGGTATTATACTATATTTGGGTCATGCAGAATTTTGTCCATCAACAGTAGGGCTTACTGGAGAGACCGGGTGGCCATGCCGCGACGGACGGATGCAGCATGCGATCAAGGGCATCCCCTGCAAGGCTGCCCGATCCCGTCTTCGACTTTAGATCTTCACTGTTGGGATTTAGGGTTTAGGGTT